AGCGAACAATTTTATTTTAAATAAGTCAGTTACAGTGTGGGTAAATCATAGGTAACTAACGAAACGATTTTTTTTCATTCGCCTTTCAGTGGGCAAGCGCGAAACAAGCGTATCATGCATATAATAATTTTGGAATGATCAATGGATCATTGATTGCAATTATTCATAGTGAACTTTATGTGCATAGAAGCATAGTCTCACGGATTCCATGCATAGTCTAAAGAAAAACAATAATATGCACCTCCTTCTAACATCTATGATTAAAAATAGCAGACGTCACTTTTGTAAATAGAATTACTTTTAGAGAAATTTTCAGAGTATTTACAAAATTAAACCATGGAAATAAAGTATTTATTTATTTTGTAAATAACATCTTAAGCTGGATTGCTGAATTTTACTCTGTAAACACCACCTAACTAGGTAAGTACTTGTATAGTTTGCTATTCTTCATAAACTTGGGTCATTGTGATCTTTTAACGCATCTGTCATTAGTTTCATGAAGTATGGGTTGAGTTTATTGCCAAACTTAGAGTCTGTTCCAAGTTTCCCATGATAATCCTAAGATTTCACATTGAATACCTATTTACAACAAAAATATACCGCTTTCAGACTCTATTTATTGTTTTCAGTAGTATAATCATGTGTGTTTCATAGTATTAACTGTAACTGCCTTTAAATAAAAGCTATTTTTCTTCGCAGCGCACAAAGCAATGGCTAAACCTATAGATATAGATAAACCAAAATGGGACCAGAGTACATACGCGGGCCGTGCCAAACATTTCTTGCTTCTCACTAATCCGATAAACTGTTTAGCTAGTGATGAGGACTTGGATATGGCTAAAAGGGCTCTTGACGAGTACAGGTTCGTTTACCATATTTACTGAAATGAATTTTTCTCTTAACCTCCTTCGAGTGTCGCGGGGAACCTAACGGGTTACCGGGGCTCCGGCTCGACGTGCAGGAGAAGGAACGGGGTGGTTTTTAGTCAATAAGAGTCGGACACTCCCTGCCGCCTCACCCAGGCGGGAGCAGCCATTCGATGATTTTCCGCCAATAAAAAAAAAACCTTCTTCGAGTGGAATATATTTTGTGCCAATTGTCATTATCGATTCGAAGAGAATTCGGCGGGGATAATTAATAAGCCTCTGGTATCCTCACTCACACCGCGGAATAAAAAACGCAAGTGTTTCAAAATGATTTGCTGTGCGGCCGTCCGTGATATCGTGGTCGAAGTTTGGCTCTCCCACTCGATGAGTGATTACAGTAGGCTTCAATAAAATAAAGATTTTTTTTTTTAGGAAAACCAAAGCAATGCCCCATGGTTACAATGAGGATAAGTTATGGGCAGCTAAATACTTGTACGACAGTGCATTTCATCCTGACACAGGCGAGAAGATGCTTAGAGTCGGTCGTATGTCTGCACAGGTGCCTATGAACACACTGATCACAGGGTGTAAGTACGTTACTGCAATAATCAAGCAAATTTTCAATTTATTATCTAAGGTTATAAAGTATATTAGATCGGGCTTTGGTTCCTTTTGATCACACAACGTAGCATTCGCATTAATATGAATGTTTACGCATTTTACCCTATAAATTGAGGCGGCTTTGGAGTCATCGGAAGACTTATTTTTCGAAGAAGAACAAGAACGAGAACTTTGTCTTGAACTTTAGACAGATTTGATTTACTAATTGATTAATTGTTTGAAATTGTTATTGTTTTTACAATAGTTTTACTTTTTGTCAGGTATGATCACTTTCTATAAAACAAGACCGGCCATCATCTTTTGGCAATGGTTCAATCAGACGTTTAACGCCATGGTTAATTACACTAATCGCTCAGGAGACGCAGTTATCACTACGAAGTAAGATTCTACTTCTTAAGTTTAACAAGACATATTTCACCAGAAAGAGCACGATGTGGCGTCAAGATAATTGGATAAAACCTAATTTGTTTCTTTTTGCAATGGCAGGCAGTTGTTGGCATCCTATTGCGCAGCCTGTAGTGGTGCTCTAACTACAGCTTTGTACCTAAACAGTAAAGTTAAGGTAGGAGTTAACCATACTAAGAATTAGGCGTAAAACATGGAATGGGGTTTCACTAATAGTATAATTTATAGGGCATGAATCCAGTGTTCGCGCGGTTGGTACCCTTTGCAGCTGTGTGCGGCGCTAACTTCATCAATATCCCTATGATGAGGAGCACGTTAGTACCTTGTTTACGTATTACAAAGTTTACCATAATATCACTCTTGGTAGGCCGCGTGGGAGCTACAGTTGGTTAGAGAATGCATCACTCAATCGCAGTTTTTGATATAAGTACCTGAAATCAGTTTGCCGAACTTCTTAGAATGTTGAACTAAACTCTATAAAGGTTTTGAGTTCTCTTTCACAAAGCGATCATTATTTGTCATGTTTCCTTAAAAATATAGAGGATAAGAACGACGTACATTTATTTACAGTGAGCTAATAAACGGTACGCCTGTATTTGCACCAGAAGGTCAGAGAGTTGGTGACTCTAAGATCGCTGCACGCACAGGAATTTTTCTCGTATGCATATCTCGAGTGGCGATGGCACTTCCTGGCATGAGTAAGTAAATGTAGTCATTAAAACTTCATTATTCATCATAACTTCCATCCATACTGGCTGAGGTTGCTCGTCCTAAACAGAAAGCTAAGGCTGAGCCCGAGGCAATATCAATATGTTCCTGTGGCTAGAGCTATTAAAATAATTAACAGCGTTGAACAAAAAATAGATATTTTCAGTAGCTCATTGGCGGAGTTCATAAAGGTAGCAACTGATGTTGTTACTTCTTCTTGATGGATAACTTCAGTTAATAGGTCTGTGTTAGTACAATGTTAATTATACGTTTTTATATCGAGTGACAACTTTATCGCATTCAGTGTAACCTGTTAGGATGTGTTGATATAAATCAATGAAATATCATTTTTAACATTAACCGCAATGTATCTTGCTTATGTTTGCTTCTGACAAAGCTCTTACAAATCCTTAAAAAGACTTTACTAAATAATCTCCACGATTGACGATTGATTAGGATTTTATTTATTGAATTAGCAGGTAAACGAGCAGACGGATCACTTGATGGTAAGCAATCGGCGTCGCCCATGGACACCTGAAATACCAGATGCATTACAAGTACGTACGGTACGCCTTTTAGGGATTGGGAATTTGAGGATTGTTAGGGATTCGGGAATGGGGGACACGGGGGTGGGAGGTATTTGGGCCTCCGGTAACCTTACTCATAAAACGAAACACAACGCAAGCATTGTTTTACGTATCAAACCGATCGAGCCGGCCCATTCGTGCCGAAACATGGCTCTTCCACACTTAAAATTCAAATTTACCGAAAATTGAGAGGATTGCTACTCAACCGTGCGGATTCCGGTTTTAGTACACCATCAAATATCACAGCTCGTGACAGTCCCCTGCTATTTTAGTAGCTTCCTGTACATAAGAATAAGACGATTTTGTCTTACTTTTATTTTAGAACATAATTATATTAGTCTAAGATCCGGCTGCAGAATCAGTGTACCAATCGAGTGTTTGCTGAAAACCAAATTTTTACACATATTCATGATTAGGAGAATTAATATCCACTAGGTTGCCTATCAAAATGTGGCCGCTAGTATTTTTAATTAAATTATTAATAATTCATAATCCGTAAGAAATTTCATTGACTTTTTTTTTCAATGAAATGTCGTCTACTTTACGGCAACATCTATAAAGACTCTGAAAAATTATGGTTGCCGTTGCGCACCTGGCCGCACCTCTTCGCAGCCAGGTATACACAGGTATGAATTTGTTACATTTATACACCCACAACGTACATTTATAATTTATATATCAAATTAAAGCAAATTTTTTTCTGTATATTATTATATACGGTTGCTTAATTAAATCTGGCCGCCAATAAGGGTTGCTGGCTAATAAATATAGTAAATATTAAAAGTAGAGTGAAAGAGAGCTAGCGCGTAACACCACTAGTCACTAGGTACGACTCAAAATAATAAATACTCCAAAAGAAACGTCTTTCTTTTCTAAAATAAAAAATTAAAAAGTCAATGACAAATTTAAAAATTACAAAAAAAATGAATATTGATGATAAATAAAATCAAGGTTACTTATGTAAAAAAATTGTGTTGTACAAGTACTGCATGAAAAAAGATTTAATTACATTTATTTTACATATACATCAATCACCAGTTTAAGCAAATTATAAATTTTTAAAATGTATTATATTTGTATTATACTTCCATGACTCTTTTTTAATAAAATGTCATGATATTTATATTTTTTCTTGCGACGAAACAATAACATTAGAGAACACTTTTTGAATGAAGCATTATCAAAGTCTAGTACATTGCATTTTTTGTCGCACAGGAAACACGCCTTCATCCTTATAAATTTTATTTCACTTAAATGAGATTAATAATTTTTCGATGCACAAATAAAACAGCAATATATTATGTTGTGTATTACGTACTCCAAACAGCGTGGTTTCGAACTTAAAATAAAAATCACAACTGATCCGTTGAGAACACTAACATCTGACGCATGCGCAATGGCTTTAAACCGTCCGACAGCTGGCAATCGCTATCCTCGTCTGACTAGTGGTGTTACGCGCTAGCTCTCTTTCACTCTACTTTTAATATTTACTATATTTATTAGCCAGCAACCCTTATTGGCGGCCAGATTTAATTAAGCAACCGTATATAATAATATACAGAAAAAAAATTGCTTTAATTTGATATATAAATTATAAATGTACGTTGTGGGTGTATAAATGTAACAAATTCATACCTGTGTATACCTGGCTGCGAAGAGGTGCGGCCAGGTGCGCAACGGCAACCATAATTTTTCAGAGTCTTTATAGATGTTGCCGTAAAGTAGACGACATTTCATTGAAAAAAAAAGTCAATGAAATTTCTTACGGATTATGAATTATTAATAATTTAATTAAAAATACTAGCGGCCACATTTTGATAGGCAACCTAGTGGATATTAATTCTCCTAATCATGAATATGTGTAAAAATTTGGTTTTCAGCAAACACTCGATTGGTACACTGATTCTGCAGCCGGATCTCGTACTATATGTATCCTCGTCTAGTAAAAAGAGAAAAAAGTTTATCTTCTTTTTGCAGCTTTTGTCCCGATTATAACGAACACGGCAGTACAAAAAGGTTTATTCTGCCACTACCCACTGGCCGTAATACCATTCCAATTAGCTCTTGTATGTTTTTGTGCCGCCTTCGCCACACCACTCGGATGCGCTTTTTTCGAACAGAAAGCTTCTTTGAGTATTGATGCTGTAGAAAAAGAAATAAAGGTAACTAAATTTTATTTCGTTAAAGTTCTTTTAACTCAGACTATTGTTTTTCTTATTATAAGTGAGACTATTCAGTACTCTCGTGAGACGTCCTATAAATTAATCATGTTTAGAAGCTTAATTATTTAAGTGTCTAACGAGATAATTCGATTAGTTTGACATGACGCGGTGAAAAGCTTTCCATAAGGACATGACGCAGTGGAAATTTTATAAAAGCTAAAATAAAACGCTTTTAAGTAGGTAATAAGTATTTCAAATCAATTATTTATTTACAGGAAATTGCAATTAAAGTATCACCAAAGGCAAAAACAGTTTATTACAATAAAGGTTTGTGACGAGTAAATCAGTACAATGCATTATTTTACCAAGTTGGTGTGTTGCTGCAAACTACTTAGTGGTACCTGCCCATAGACTACGTGGGTCGCGCTGGTACTCTTTTACGAAGAGCAGCAACGTTTTTTCTTGTCTACATCACTCGTGCCTTGTTTATGGGACAAGGATGTCATATATTATGGTTGCGAGTAGAAACTTTTTTCTGGAATTAATAGGTATACCTATTAAGTGCTTTGTTGCCTACCTTTAATGACCTTTGTGTTAGAATCGGTTTACACAATAAACTCTTAAGCGTTTATTTCACCCTTAATAAATTAAGTTTTTAATAATTTCTTTTTTAGAACTTTTAAATAAAATTTACACTTTTTTCTATGGAAGGGTTTTGAAAACTTGTTATGTAATTTTTTATTTACATTAGGTCCGGTCATGGATTGATTGTATCGTGGTTTTATTTTAACATGGGCTCTATTGATTGTTTACCAAGCCAGTGGCAGCCTCTGAGGTGCAAAGGGTGTTAGCAACTCGGGGCTGGGGCCCCGAGTTGGCTGAGTGCGGCCCGTCTAAAGTCAAATTCTAATATTCTAAAATAAAAAATAAATGAATTTAACTCCGTTTTTCGAAGTTCGTGGCCAACAATATGGCGTTTATTGCACGGTTGTACAATGTATTACGAGTATGTAGTTTATATTTTGTAAATTTATACATATTTTAACTACTGAACTCACAATGCCTATATCCATTCAAAGTCTATATACTTACACAGTTTCTCATATTTTTTAAAACATGCAATTATGTAGTCGACTAATGTATATTAGTTACTTTAATGGTGCTTCAGTGTTTTGAGAAAAATAAATGTTTTTATTTAATTAAAGCCGTTGTTTTAATTTACAGTAGGTATTATTCACTATAATTACATGGCGCATTATAAACGCTGTGTCCATGAGTGATAATCGTAACGACCCCTCACTTGTATCGTCGGGTAATCTCCATGAATATGCTATACCAAACGGCGTATACAGTCCACTCCTGACAGAATCGCAGCGAATCCGAAACGTCAAATATCGTTGAAATTCATGTAAATAAGAATGAGAGCTCAATATAAAACGTAGTAAAGTAATATTAATTTTGTTGAAATTGCCCTCCTTTTGATTCAGTCAAATAAAAAGGAAATACAAAAACGCAGCAAGTATGCAACAGCTGTGTGTTGTGCTAGTTTCTTCTACAGTGCGTAATATGCTACGGTGCAGAGCATACACAAATAACTGCTACGGCGTAGAGCGTAGAAAGATCGGCTACGGCGTAGCGGATACTGTTGTTGCACTACGAATATTGTAGCCACCGAATAATAAGTTATTTTTGAGATTTCACTTGATCACATAAATTGTGCATATTCATTTTAAGCTTTTTATCATTTCATTTACATTTCTCATCCTATTTAGAGGATCCGGGAGATATCGCAACAGGTAACTATAGGCCCATGTCATTGGCTACGGTAATATCAAAGTATTTGACAACTTGCTTATTACACAACTGAACAAATCTAAAGAACTTCATGATAACCAGTTCGGATTTAGGCCTGAATTGTCAACTGAAAGCGCAATATTGTGTCTTAAGCAGGCTGTCTTGTATCCCGGCGTGTTACACCTGTGTACGCTTGCTCCCTCGACATATCCAGGGCCTTCAATATGGTTTCTTATGAGTGGTTGTGGAAAAAAACTGCGTTTAAAAAACCGACTTCAAAAAACCAAAAACTAATAACAAACAAAAAGTTAAAACTAAACAGCAAAAAATAATTATTATTAGTACTGATAGGTTACCCACCCACTGATAGTTAAGAAGTCGGTGCCATAGGTTCCATACAAAATTATTCATTAAAACCTTAATAGGTAGGTACCTAATTCTCAATTTTGTGGACATTAAGTTATATCATTATGATATATATAATGGCAGGCTGAGACTCGGCAACTCACCGACCGGGCCCCGGGAATGGTTGCTAGATATAGCAAAAGAGGGACAACGGAAATGTGAGTTGAGGCGTTAAGAGACTACCACCACTTTTTACTCAGATCATCTGCTCCAGCCGAAGCCTCGTGCATCCCTGGCCCACTCGCGACTTACGAATAGTTTCTAACCCTTCTAGTAGGATCACTGCTCTCGCGACTCCCACTCTGAAAGGCCAATGAATCCAGCCTGTGAAGGCAAGCCGGAGAATAAGGAACGGTGCCTTCTTCTTGGAGCACTCGGAATGATGGTAAGCCGCGGGGTCGCTAACGCCCGTCACCTCGTCTCAAGGTACCTGCGGGCTTATTGGTACAGTTATTTATTACAATTTATTTATTAGGTTGAATAATATTTGACTATTAGATAACTTTGTCCATATAAAAAGATGATCAGTTTGGAAACATTAATGCATGTTATCAATTGTTATGTGTGTTAGGTCAATAGAATAATAAAACAGGTGCGTAGCTTTTAGTATGAGCCCCTTTGTGTTTAGGTACACTGCCAAACTAATGTAAATGTAAAGTGAGTTTACGTCTGATAAATGGGCAGATCTCTATCTCATCCTGATCGCCTTAACTTGCCTAGTTGGTTTCCTGTTATGTTCATCTTCTAACTTCATCATCAGACCCTGGTTACCATTTACATGTTCAAGCCCGTGCATGTAGATAGATAGACTGCTGGTAGATACCAACTGTGTTCCTGCATGAGCCTCTGTCGCGTCGCACGTCCTACGAACATGGGACGTACGTGCAAGGTTGAGTCGGACTGCGCCGGAGCACTTTTATATGGGACCGCGTTGGCATGTGATTAAGGTCTTAATACTCATAGGTGATGCTGACTGACTATGCAAAATTCATAAGAACATACAAGCAAGTTACGTCTTTTGATTGTATGATCAAGCCAAAAGACAAAGTATTACATAGAAAAATCATATTCGTAAGCTATGGCTTAATCATAAACAAAAACATCAAGCTGTCACTGTCGCATTATTTCTTTCAAGTGTGAAATGGTTGGTAGTGGTGAAGGTTACGCACGTGCTTTTGTCATTCCTACGTTTGTTTTCAATTAAGTGATCTATTTCATAGTGATCTAAATTGAAATCTTTTAAATTTTGTTTTTTTGTGTTGGTTAAGTGTATGTGTGTGTAAGTTTTAATCAGGTATTGGTGTTTTTAAGTATATTTTATTCTATTATTTCCTCTGCCCATCCGCATCTTTTTAATTCGAAATGGACGAGGTGAAGCCACCCGATCCTCCTGATCCCGATAAATCTCCGGAATATGAGACGGAAACTATTGTCACAATTACCCTTCCTCCCAACACCCCGGATATCGAAATAATGGACGCGGAATTTTCAAAATCCCGGAAACGACCCGCAGGCTCCCCCCTTATCACCCAAAACAACCCCCCGAAATTGGCAAAAAGTGTAAATGGTAGGCAATGTTACACGGCCAGGGACAATCCCCCTTACATAGTCTATGTGTCTCTTAAGGACTCCCAGACGTCTGGCACCACGCTTCACCCAGTTAAGTTTGGTATGTTCTTAATGAAACTAAACATTAATAATGTTAAGATCGGTGGTGTCAAACGGCTGGGGAGGAATAGAGTTTCGGTTGAGTTTGTGACGCACCAGGATGCTAACAGCTTTTTAGTAAACGGTATGGTAGCTCAAAATTATACAACTTCGATCCCACAATTTAATATTACCCGAATGGGCATTGTCAGGGACGTCCCTGTGGAATGGACAGAGGACGAAATCATTGGTAACATCAGGGTTCCCACCGGGTGTGGGGCTGTGATAAAAGCCAGGAGGATGAATCGCAGAGTCTCAACTCCAAACGGTACCGAATGGAAGCCTACCCAAACCGTAGTGCTTACTTTTGACGGCCAAACACTACCTAAAAAAGTGTTTTGTTTTTACTCAGCGCTCCCGGTAGAACTATACTCATACCCTACCATACAGTGTTATCACTGTTGCCGTTTTGGGCATACCCGCACTCTTTGCCGCTCCAAGCCACGTTGTTTCAAGTGTGGCCAGGATCATCCAGGGGATGGATGCCAGATTCCAGCTGAGACTGCCACCTGTGTCAATTGCAATGGCACCCATTTTGCTAATGACAAAACTTGTCCTGAATTGGGTCGCCAGAAGAGCATCAAAGCTCTGATGGCTGAAAAATCAATTTCATATGCGGAAGCAAGCCAGGTTTTCCCTTCTGTAAAAAGGTCTTATGCTGAGGTCTCAAGATCAGTCAACCTCATTGATCCATCTCCTAATAAAAAACCATCCCAACAAAGAGTCTCCTATAAAAAAACTATACACCTTAAACCTAAATCACATGCTCCCCTATCTCCTAGCTATGATAAGAAGGCTCATCAGGCCCTTATCCAAGACCACACTTACTCCCCATCCAAAAACGGTTGCGCTTTCCCTGTGGAATCCGGAACCAACATTCGTAGCTCCAAGTACATTCTTAATATAGTTTCTGATATGCTCATGGCAGTACTATCAAACCCTGCCCAAACTGTACCGGACCACGTCGCACACAAGCTTTCAACAATTCTTGATTACATCTGTAAAATTCCTACCTCTAACACTGCTTCAGTGGAACGTGAGGAGTACTCTTCCCAGGAAGAGTGACTTACTCCACTTGATGAATAAATTTAAACCATCGATTTGTGGCATTGCTGAGACATGGCTTCGACCGAATATCAATTTCGGGATCCCATGTTTCAGTGTTGTCAGACATGACAGATCTGATGGTTATGGAGGGTGTGCTTTGTTAATTAATAACAAAGTACCCTTCTCCCAGATCCCTCTAACCTTCGTTGGCGATGACATAAATGTTGTCGCTGTTAAGGCTGAGGACATAAATATATTTGTATTTTACATTGCTCATCCTCATGTTGACCACCTTATTTTGATTAAAAATTTACTTACCTCAGTAAGTGGCCCATTACTTGTTATGGGTGACTTTAACTCCCATCACTATAGATGGGGTTCAGATTTTTGTGATAATATGGGTAATGAGCTAGTTGAGATGCTGGACGAACTCGATCTGTGTGTCATTAATGATGGCAGCCCTACTCGTAGGTCTGCATTTGGTCAAAGAAACAGCTGTGTGGACTTGACCTTTTGCTCGCCTGTTATGGCTAGCGTGCTAAATTGGAGTTGTTTAAATTTGACCTATGGTAGTGATCACTACCCCATCATAATTAAACACCTGTCAAAATCCATCCCAGATAAACCCCTTCCCCCCCTATTAAGATATCGTTTAGATTCCGCAGACTGGGATCTTTACTCTAAATTATTAGACCTCCGCATTTCTCTCCTTCCACCAGTTAACAATGAGAATTCTTTGGAATGTTTCTCCAAATTTTCCGACCTGATATCCTCCACAGCCGAAGATTGCTTTCCTGTGAAAAATGCACCGAAAGGCAATATCCCTTCTCCACCATGGTGGGATAGTGAATGCACTGCCATGATAAGAGCTAGGAATGCGGCTGA